AAAAACGCGTTTTTCATAGGTTGAAGCATATACTTGCTCGTAACTTTATTTCTGTTTGCCCGATGAAAAATACTTACATATGCCATTTAAGAGAAAACATTTCGTTGTTTACAACCAATTATAAATGGTTAATTTGTCTTCAGAATGGGCACCCTATGTATGTATACAAGTTAACAAAATAGTCGGACAAGTCGTAATTTAAAATGAAAAATGTAAAAAATTTTGCATATCGATGGCTGAGTGGAAGATCGACCTATCTCGGAAGCCAGTTCAAAAACGCCCTGTCTCTGAAAGTTTTTCAAGAACGCCCTACTTCAAAGTTTGATTGAAAAACGCCCTATTTCGGAATTTGGTTGAATAACGCTCTATCACAGAATTCATTTCAAAAACGCCCTATCTCAAACGAAAATACATTGAAAATAAGCCGATATAGGGCGTTTTTGAATTGGCAGCTGAGATAGGGCGTTTTTCAATGAAATCCTGAAGTAGGGCGTTCTTGAAAAGTTTTCTGAGATAGAGCGTTGTTAAAAAATTTTCTGAGATAGGGCGTTTTCGAACTGGTTGCCGAGATAGGTCGATCTTCCACTCAGCCATCGATATACTCCGTAAGATTCCTTTCAGTGATCGGACTTCTACCACATTGTTGTAGATCTGCCACTTTTTTGAGCACACCTACCACACAAGGTCTGAAATCTACCACATATTGGCGTTTTTGAGTAGTTTTATTTTTGCTCAACTTAATTTTCTTAATTTTAAGAGCAAAAATTGTCCAACACTAAACACTAACAACAGGCAGAATGGGAGGATAAAATAAACTGTAAAATAGTAAATTTTCTCAATATTCAATTTTACGACATCAAACATGGTTTTATTGTGTTAAATTGCAAAATATATGATTTATAAAAGGAATTAATAGCGAAAATGATAAAAACCGACGATTTTTGTGAGAGCATTAGCAAATTTCAGTGCATCTCAAATTTCTAAAGCGTTGTTTACTTTTACTTGAGAATTGTCAAAATCGGCAAATCCCAAGAAGCATTTCTGGAACGAGCCACGTTTGTTCGCTACATCGTGATGTGATAAAAAAAAAGCTGGAAGGAAACTGTCAAGGAAATTGCCAAAGCCAACGCAATTTTTATCAACTTCAATCATACACTTTATTATACTAAAATTAATTTTGTTTTAGATTCTGATTAAAATGTTTGCAATTTAGGAGAAACCTTGCAGATTTTTATTAATTTTTGTACAAAGTTTGATCCAAAACCTGAGATCTACCACATTTTTTTGAAATCTATCAAATTTTTTTAGATTGTACCACACAAATTTTTTTTAAGTCCGATCACTGATTCCTTTGCCATTTCTTAAGATAAATCATCAATTTAAACATTGTTGTAAGCAGCGATATGTCTTATCTTGAATCACATACACATATACGTATTTTTCACCGGGTAAACAGAAATAAAGTTACGAGCAAGTATACCTGTGCGTCACCCTTTGAAAAACGCGGTTTTTGACCTTAAGCTCAGATTTTGAGGGTGTATTTAAAATTTTGAGTATGCAGATTTTACTGCTTAGATAGACCTACAACAAGTATGAACCTCGAAAAAATCTATATACATTTTTTTTTGTCACATAGTGTAATTTAGATCGTCTTTAATAATCTGTATATCGTCGTTTAAAGTACAAAACCGCGTATCAACAAAATGCAAAGCCGCCTATGTGAGGTTGCATAAATTATTATCTAGATAGTAAAAACGGTTATCTTTTTTATAAAGCAATCGCATGTATATTTCAGGACGAATGGATAAGGATTGAGCCAACAGCTTCTGTAAGCAAATTCAATTTTTGGCAGCAAATGTCAGTTACGCGATTTTGCAGAATGACGGTACGCGGGGTTGTACTTTATACGACGATATGCATGATGTATATGTGTATAGCCAGCAAAAACTTCGGAAAGAGATCCGAAAACTGAAAGAAAGGTGAATAGTAAAGTGCCACGAAGGGTTGTGAAACGAATACTTTTCCGACTGGTTTTCTGAAATTTTTCATTCTGAACTTCAAATATGCTTTTTCAAAGTTAATTATACTCAGAAATTAATTATACTTTTAATATGTTCGTCTGCCGGCATAAGAACCTGGGACCTCATGAAAGCTTACAAATAGTCGCACGCTTCTCTGCACACTCAGCTACTGTCGAATACGTATATGTACACGTTTTCAAATGTTCAGTTTGAGCAAATATTTTAAAATTGTTGTTTTCAAATAACGTGATATTTTTCGGTAGTTTTCGGATACGAATATTATATTAAATATTAAAATTTTACCAAAATTGGAAAATACAAGGGTTCACAAGCACGAAATGGCAATACCGCTCAACAATATTTGTATATTTGTCACTGGCATTTGTCATCAAGTGGCAAATCAGATATTTGGTCATTTGCGTAATTTTTATTTGGCTTATGTAGCAGCATTGCGTTCACACGATTTGGCCACCAGGGTTGTTTTTCATTTGCCACAAGAAGGCAAATATTTGGCTTTTCTCATAAACGACAAATGTAATTTAGCGTTCACATGATTTGTCTATGAATTTGACAAATTTTTAGCCTAATGTACAAATCGTGTGATCCCAGCTTAAGATTTTACGACGGTTAACACGTCTTGTGAATCCCCTAATGATTTGTCTACGAATTTGACAAATTTTTGGCCAAATGTACAAATCGTGTGATTCCAGCTTAAGTGTGTGTGTTTTGATTTTTACTTTGCACGTTTTTTAATAACATTAACTTTTTATGCTTCTCATTAACAGGCGCTCATGTAAATCCGGCTGTGACTTTGGCAGCATGTATCATACGCGCCATATCCCCAGTTCGTGCTGCTATGTACATAACGGCTCAATGTGGTGGCGGCATCGCTGGAGCTGCTTTACTGTATGGGTAAGTTGAGCATGTTTTCAAAAAAATAAACAAGAGCAAGAGGATCATGAAAATAGGACTAGCAGTTGAAGTTCCCTAACCGCCAAAGTGCAATCACAAACTTGATTTTAACGCGAATTTACGCACATACGCATGTGCATATTAACATAACTGTGTAAGTGGACACATGCAAATATTTCTGCATGCATTTCACAACAGTGATTTTGCATTTATGGAAACCAGGGGTGCTCAACAAACTATATGAATCGATTTCGTTTTGTTAATGCAAAAACCACTTCTTATTTGGCGCTGTAACCGCCTAAGCGATTTTGGCCGAGTTCAACAACGCACACGCCAGTCGTTTCTCTTCTGTTGACTGTTTTAATAAAATTAAGCTCCAAAATTTTGTATTAAGTAATAATAAAATAAATAATGTGAAATGAAATTAAACAAAGGATAATATAATAAAGGAAATTAAATTTATGAATAAAATAAAAAATAAAATAAGTAATAAAAACAAAATAAAAAACGTGTGTAACACCGTACACATGATGGAAGTGAAACTTCTTAAAAAAGGTGTGAGTACCAGGTACCTACTCACAAAATTGGATGTGTAAACATATGTTATATGATTGAGTTACATACATAGGTTTGGTTAGAAATCAAACAATAATTTCATTTCATCTTATTAATTTTCTGATATACATATAATTTATTTATTCATTTTCCGGTAACACCACCTTATATGAATTCGCGCGTCTAGCATCCATAGGACCGGGTTGTAATGGATGTAATTGTATGTTTAACAAATAAATGAAAATGTTTATAATGCAATCAATAGATCCTTACGAAATCGTCATTACCAAGACACTAAGTAACGTACGCACTTTTGTTTGCAAAATGCATTTATTTAAGTTGAAAGAAGACAAATTCCTTTGTTCGGCATTTATTCATACGCGCTTTCTATCTTCCAAGGCGAATTCATATATTTATGTGGTAGCAAGAGTATAAAAACATTAAATTACCTTATAAATTAAAAGCATAAGTATCACATGTATGCGTAGTCCAATTCACGAAATCATTTCATCGATCTGAGTAAAAACCAAGTGCATAAACTCTATTTCGCGTTAATTGAAATCATGAAATGGTGTTCGTTCATTCAGTTGCTACTCAAACGCATGAAATGATTTCATGAATTGGCCTACGCATAATGGTAGTAAATGACAGAATGAATTACAACAAACACATCCTTTTGACATAATGCAAGCCGAAAACATTGGTTCAAATAAATCCGCAGTCAAGTTGGACGTTTTGCCCACAAACATTGCAATTTTGCGAGCAGTCTCATTGTAAAATCTCATTTTTACAATTTCATAGTTTCGGCTTACATTTATAAAATTCAACGAAAGCACGTACCTATTTCGGCTGAGTTATCCATTTTCGGTTATTTAGTGTAGAAAATAAACGCAAATTAAATGAGTTTGTACAACATTATTTATTATTTATTTAACATGACCATTAATGTAGCGATAAGTTGTACAACTTGCCAGAAAATCCAAATTTTTTGATTTTTCATACAACCACAACATAAATTCATTCGACAGGCCCACAAACGGTGCAATCTAGAGCAAAACAACACCAAGTTGAACCAACGGTCGCTACGTTTATGGCTTTCTTTAAGAAACATCAGGCGAAAATTTCAACTGCTCCTGTAACACTGCCTTACTGGCCGTCTAAACAGGACAAAATTTATTGCTGCCCAGCTTCCATTTTGGTCGCAGATATAAGTTATATCAGTAGCAATATTTGTGTGGGCTTTTTATATCTTGATATAAGCATTTGTAAGATAGCTTTGAAAATGTATTTTTGCCGGATTTAATCCCTTAAAAAATTTAGAAAATAGGCTATTTTAAATCCAAGTACATAATTACAAATATTTTAACAGGAAACAGCTCAATTTTACAACGCTTTTATCAACTTGCAATGTTGTGGCTCCAGAAACTTTCAATGTTGTGGATCCAGAAACTTTCAATGTTGTGTGTCCGACACCATAAAACCTTTGCTTTGAAAAGTTCCTATAAAAAAGCATAGTGCATAGGGCGACATCTGTAGTGAATAGGGCGAGGTAGATGACATCTAGATGTCGCCCTATGTACTACGTTCGCTACAGCGGAAATAGACGACACGCCATTTCTTTAAATAAAATTAATTGGTGCTCGTTTGTATGTACATACATATGTAAATGCATGTGTGTGCACCTTTCTATTAATATCGTTGAATTATTAATATCTATCGCAAAATTTTATACAGACAAGACAAAAAAGTAGAAAATAAATAATATAAAAAAAAAACTTTTTAATATACAACGCTTTTATAAATGGACTAAAAAGTAGAACATAATATTTCTCAGTCCCATAGAATTTGTTTTGATAACTTTTGATTTTGAAATTTTACCAAAAGTCGTTATAACCAATTTATGAGATTGAAAATGAAAAGCGTGGGGCGCATGCAATACAAAGCATTATATTTAATTGACAATAGGCAAACTACATAACATAGACCTAAAATTTCTTCAGCGAAAGTATCGCTTTCGAATCGAAAGATCGATTTTAAGCGGTCGTTATTCATATATCCACATACATATGAACATATATTACCCTTCATATCAATTCAGGTGGCTATTATATGCGCCCCACGCTTTTCATTTTCAATCTCATAAGTTGTTTATAACGACTTTTGCTAAAATTTCAAAATCAAAAGTTATCAAAACAAATTCTATGGGACTGAGAAATATTATTTTCTACTTTTTAGTCCATTTATAAAAGCGTTGTATATTAAAAAGTTTTTTTTTTTATATTATTTATTTGCCTTTATATTAAAATAATAATGATGTTGCATCCACGAAGTTTTGGTGCAAATGAAAATGTAGCTGTCAAACTACCAAATTGCCGGCAATAGATGGCAAGATATAAGCTCTGATATATATTGCTCTTGAAGAGCAATGAGCGGTCTCCATTGGCTATTTATATTCTAACATATGTATCTAGATATAAACTTTATCCTGTGGAGACGGGCAGTTATATAAGTTGGCCTTGCTATCATCTTCACATATGTTCATCAGAGTATACCAACGAAGGACCAGTTAATACAAGGAGATTGCGAGAGCACAAAACTACTCTAGAAAATTACACGCACAATGACAAACATGAACAAATGTACAACAAACACATAATTTTTGACAATCAGTACAGTTCGCATTTATATCAACGAGCAGCTTATTAGATTTGTTTTCGTTTGTACTACATATGTGCATATATACATGCACACAAAAATATGTACATACGTACAAAAATATTTACAACCATTCAAACATATGTACATTAGCCTGCATCACTCCCCACCTTAAAAAAAAATTAATCGGTACTATTTTTCCATTGGAATTATAAAATCTACTACATTTTAAGACGTCCACCAAAATATTTCGGAAAAATATTAAGATTTAAGTGAGCTGGACCGATTTGAAAATACCTCCAAAAATGGTTTTTTTTTATGAATAAAAATAGTTTTTAAAGAGTTTTTTTGAAAAAATCCCCTCAAATGGCAAAACGGTTTAAGCTTAAAATATTAAAAAAAAATTTAAAAAAATTTTAACGGAATCGTAATGATGATGCTGTTTTTAACATTTTTCAAAGATTGGTATAAGAAAAACTTGAATAACTGAACCTAAACTCTTCCGATTTTGACCTAAGAGGTGTCATTGGAAAGGTATTTTTTTCACCCTTTTCATTTATTTGCTAATAAACTTATTCAAAGGATGGAAGAGAAAGGTAGGAGAAACGAACCTCACTCAAAGTTGAATTAAGATGTTTTGGTATTCGAAAATAAAGATGGGACACGAATGACGTTTCTTTTGGCCAGTTATTCAAGTTTTTCGTAAATCAATCTTTGAAAAAAGTAAAAAAACAGCATCAAAAATCTCATTCTTACGATTCCGTTGAAAAGATTTTTAAATATTTTTATGCAGATTTTTTAAGCTTATTCTAATTTGTCATCTGAGGGGCTTTTTTCAAAAAGTTCTTTAAGAAACTATTTTTATTCATAAAAAACTTCATTTGTGGAGGTAATTTTAAATCGGTCCAGTTCGCTTAAATCTTAATATTTTTCCGCAATATTTTAGTGGACGTCTTAAAATATAATACATTTTGTAATCCCGACGGAAAAAACCGCAACTTTTTTTGGTGATGCAGTCTAATGTACATACATGAAAACATTGCTGTCCAAAAGTACATACATATGCCCATCAGTACATCAACGAAGCCCGTTTGCTTCATCATAAATATATCCAGACAAACATATGTACGAATGCATGTAGTTACGCGAAGCACGCTTGCATCATTTATACATATGTTGTTTGGTAGCGGCAGAGCTGAAATGTGCAATGAGTTCGTTCATACATACATATATATGTATACATACATACGTGCATTCTAACATACATATATACATATGTAGGTACTCGTACCCGTCATGCGTCGCTTTATTTCTTTTTTCCCCTTCCCTATACTACCTATATCTTCCTTCTCACTCATGTAACGTTTTCAGTTTCAAAAATTTCACTCTCCATTTTTGCGATACCGCCGCCTAAGAAGTTTCACTTCAAAAAATGTATGAACCGCTCCAACCCAGGATCAAACCTGGGACATACAGAGTTTTAGTACGCAGATCTCGCTCGCCTGCTTTGTTTGCTTCCTTGTCGTTTTTACCAGTGTTGGCATCGAATATTCCCTTGATCGGAATCAATTTTGGGAATTAACTCTAGGACTTAATCCGGATCGACTGAAGTTAATTCCCCAGATAATTCCGAATTAACGAGTTGATCCGGATCAACTCTGCCGTCAGTCTATGCTTTAAGATAAAATTATACAATTTTGTAAGGAATAACTTATTTTGTACGTAAGTAAATATTTTAGTAGTCTCATAAAATCTAGGCAGCTTAAAAGAAAAATGAAACCCATAGTTAT